GAATGCACTCTGGAATTTTTTTATTAACATATTACAATGTATAAAATCAATTGGATATTTTCGAGGATGTACTTTTAAGCCATTTGTCAACATAGTTCACAAAAAGATTTATACAGTATTAAAAACAATCCCTCTGTGACTTCTGTAATATTTTAAACAGTGAAAACGTTCTCAGAATGAGATTTAATAACGAATAACGTAGTGGGCCATTGGGCTTATATTCACGGGGGACTTATATTCGGGGGACTTATATTCGGGTGGGCTTATATTTTTTTTTTTGGGGGGGGGCTTATATTTGGAATGAGGCGAGCGTTAGGGACTGGTCATAAAGTAACTGCAAGGGTGGGCTGGAGGTAAATCACAAATTTTGCCAATAAGTTTGGTGACCCATCTTAGAATGTAGATAAAAATTTCAAAGCCCATCCAATCTTACCAAATTTATTTCATGACCCACGCACCGTAGTAACGCAGTTTGGCCTCGTGTTATTCTTTGCCATATTTTGGCTTGAAAAATATCTTGATTTTATGTTGTTTTCACCATTCTACTTGTGATATTATTCCAAAGTTATCTATCAACATGGAAACTTATCCTCACCTGGTAAGTAGCCAAATACCACATTTTATTATATACATTTATACAGTATAAAAACAATCATTGTGTAATATTTTAAACAGTCAAAACTCTGGCTGCAGGCATTATATTGCCAATTAACAATATCACAAGAAACTAATGTTCTCAGGAGATATTGAATTAAATCCTTGTCCTGTATTTCTGTTACTCTGTTCAAAACAACAGTCCAACTATTAAAGTTGTCATCAAATGTAGTGTTAGAGCAAAGGTAAAGATGTCATCAGTTAAAATTATACTTATACATTTTGGTTTAATTTACACAATAGTGTTAATTAATCAAAATTGTTACAACCATTTTCAAATGCTAATAAAAGAATCCCTACCCTCCCTCCTCATTACATTGTCATTTGCTTTCTAATATAAATGTTTTTGTTTAGAGATTAATACAAGAATGATGAATACATTTACTAATCTACTGGATATTGGCTGGATAATTTTGTCAGACCAACCCACTTGTAAGACAATCTTACCTAAATTCATCAGTATGGAAAATAACTTAACAGCTACAATAATCATACTATATTATATGGATGGATCAGATCAATGGCACACAATGTTCAAAACTAAACTTGTGATACCTTGTTTTTGTGTGGATATGCTGAGTTAAACCGAACAGTGTGGTATATCATTAACTGTGCACAGGGTTGGAATTGAATTATATACTTCACTCATGACCTTCAAAATATTCTCTACTATTCAGAGCATGGTTGTCGATATATGATTGACTCTTTGCTACAGTAATGCATGTTCTTCGAATAGTGTGTCTGTCACTCAACAGTTAACATTGGCAAGTGTAAACAACAAGTGACAGAACTTTTGCTTCATACGATCACAATAAAGTTTTGAAAATTCGATGAGTATGGATTGACAAGTGACAATTTACTAAATATCCAGCTGTATAGACACTTATTGTTTGCATGAAATTTTTATTTCCTGACTCCATAATTAACCATTACAAGCATATAATCACATTATAAAATTATTTAAATTTTAGGGCGTGTGCAGTGTACAGCCCCCTGTTAGATTTGTATTAATGTTTGATTTTAAAATCTTATTTGCTATTATATTTATCATAATAAGTGATGAAAGCGGGGAGCTTGTAAAAGTAATAGGGAGGACGACTCCCATGAGGCGCCACCATGGTTGGCGCCGAGGCCCCCCCCCCTGGCTTCCTACGCCCCTGGATGAAAGTAGATATGGGTTTTTGTTTGGTGGCCCAACCGTAGACATACAAAATAATTGGCGGCCCATCAAAACTGCCCAAAGAATTTGCATGGCCCATCCCAAATCATTTCGGCCCACCCTAGCAGTTACTTTATGAGCGGTCCCTTAGTACATGTGGTGGGCTTATATTCGGGGGGGGGGGCTTATATTTGGGGGGCTTATAGTCGGAGCCTCGGAGGTTTACGGTATGTTGGAATATTCTAAAGAAATATCAAATACTAAATGTTACTGTATACTGGCTATAGAACTAGCATTAGTGACTTGCACACTCTTTTTGTATTTAAGGAGTCAAGCTTTGATATTCAATTCACCACTAAGCAACTATGGACTGAAGTGCTGTGATTATTTGTCATTTAAGGTTAAAAACAATATTAATTAAACAATACTGAAATGTAGCGTTGAAACTACCTAATGTGAATATGTCAAGTTATTATAATTACATAAACCAGAGTAGACCGAAATAGCGATGTTTTTACCTTTATCTTTGATGTTATGTTGGCAATTGTTTTGTTGTGATGAAATATTGAACATATAATACCAAATTTCCAAAGCACAATGAATCAGGAAATGATCAATGTGACGGTGTCGAATACATATTAATCACATTGTCACCTCATGTCATAAACAACAGTTTCCGAAGTTAAGTCGACAATTTCTGTCACATCATGACAATCCTTCGTTTCAGCTACAAAGTGGCTAGCCACAAAAACTGAACATTGCCATTATTGGTTACCCGCCTTTCCAGTATTATAGATTTCCCATATACGGTAAATTAGTAAAAACCATGATTTTTAATATTTACCATTATGTATCGATCAATTCGAAACTTCACCATCCCCCCCCCGGGCCGACCCCGGGAATTTGAACTTTTTGAAATTTGACTGATCAAATTCTCCACCCCTTGTGCAAAAATGTCTTCAAATGCCCCACTGTAACAAGAAATTAAGTGTTCAAATGCCCCACCCTCATATGAAAATTATGAAATAGTAAATACACAAAGTACAAAATATACGGAAATGTTTTTCGACAAGATAGCGAAATTCACGTAAAAAGTTTGGATACCTTGTGGAAATTTAACAGTTTTACACAATTATGTAGTACATACCTTCAAATGAAGCACATAGATTTTCCATGCCCATTTCTTTGAGCCAGTTTTTCACAAAATTGAGGCTGTTTCCCTCAAAATCTGAGAAAACTGTATTTGCCGCCAATGCAAAGTATTTTCTGTGCATGCAGGAAGCACACGAAAACGGGCAAAATTTTAAGACTTCCGGTTCAAATTCCCCACCCCGTTATCAAATGCCCCACCACATGGAAGACCTAGAACGTCAAACTCCCTACTCCCTGGAGAAGACTTGAAGTCAAATTCCCGGGGTATGCCCGGGGGGGGATGATGAAGTTTCGAACTGATCGGTACATTAATGGTAATAAAGTACCAATTCATGGTAAATATTACAGAACCATGGTTTTTACTAATTTGCCATATAGGAAATCTACAATTTAACCAATAATGGTAAGTTATGTTGATATACTATCAACAATCTTGTAATTTAAAAACAACATTTTCTGGAAGGAGAAGGAGCAGCCTAGAATGATTTTAACCATCAATTGTCATCCCAGGTTTATTTGGGTTCAATGGGCTATTCCATTTAATATCCGTACACCCCCTGTCGAGGATACATGTTTTTCGTGGTTATACCCCTGAAGAATTCCAAGCTCAAAACCCTTTACCCCTGAAGAATTCCAAAATTCCAAGCTCAAAATCCTTTACCCCTGAAGAATTCCAAGCTCAAAACTATTTACCCCTGAAGAATTCCAAAATTCCAAGCTCAAAATCCTTTACCCCTGAAGAATTCCAAGCTCAAAACCCTTTACCCCTGAAGAATTCCAAGCTTAAAATTTTTTACCCCTGAAGAATTCCAAGCTCAAAACCTTTTACCCCTGAAGAATTCCAAGCTCAAAACCCTTCAGCCCTGAAGAATTCCAAGCTCTGAAAAATATCAAAGTCAAACCTCTTTACCCCTGAAGAATTCCAAGCTCAAAACCCTTTCCCCCTGAAGAATTCCAAGCTCAAAACCCTTTACCCCTGAAGAATTCCAAGCTCAAAACACTTTACCCCTGAAGAATTCCAAGCTCAAAACACTTTACCCCTGAAGAATTCCAAGCTCAAAACCCTTTACCCCTGAAGAATTCCAGGGATCCTCGACAGGGGGGGTACGGATATTAAATGGAATAGCCCAATGCAACTTAACATGTTAATGATAGGTGCATTACCTGGGAATGGTCCTTTTCCATGTGGTAAAAATAATGTGCCATACAATCCATTTCCCTCCACAATACACCGAGTCACACTGGTACCAAGAAAGCATCTCTCCATTGTCACAGTTGTTGCTGGTACAATCATCCCCCTGTCTCCAAATTCATCAAAAACATTCATGGTTATTTTGAATGGAATTGTCACATCTCGTTTTGTCAGAAAGTCGTGTTTATCTGCATCAATAACAGGCTTCATACTCCAAAATAAACCCATTGGTTCAATACCAGTGTACGATCCACTATTAAAGCGAAGGTTGGGAAGAAACAAACACTTCTCCATTCTGATTCGCCTTGTATTTTGCCGTTGATTCGAACACCAAATTATTATCGTCAACAGTTCGAGCTCGCAGAGTGACAACTTCGTCAGGACATAGATTACTCACAGTAATATCCACTTTCTGATCGACTAGAGTTGTAAGAGAGGGATTGACAGTGATTTTTCTTGGACTGGGAGCTATTAAATCCTGAAATTCCATATTGGCCGCCATCTTGGATTTGAGAACGAACAATCTATGGAACAATCTCGTTCCCCGAGCCTGCGATCCTCGGGAAGGAACCATAGCTCTGGGATAACCGTTTCAGCATAGGCAGCCCAAAACGGCGTGTAGAATGCACCAATAATGCTTCCAAATGTCATTTTGCATTAAGCTCGCCCCATTCCTTTGTCATTTGTCGCGCGCCGCAAGCACTCAATTTGAAAAGCAGTGTTGATAAACAGCTGGGATAAAAGCAGTGTTGACAACATTCTGTTGTCGCTGTCTAAATATTGCGGGCGCATTTCTTTAACAAACATTTTGATTCTTCGAACGCTGAAAATATGCATTGTGAGAGGATTTTTTGTCCTCTTTTACTGGTTTGTTCATGGCAAATAAAGTGTTTCTTGAAAGATTAAGTTGTAGTGCTTGTACGCAACGATATAACGACTTAATCGCATGAAAACGTGCGAAGAATTTTTATTTACAAATGGGCGACAAGTGGAAATGTTTCACTCATTGTCAGAGTTTCAGAAGCAGGGTACAGCAGTATGGAAACAAGGAAGTGTTCATATTTTACTCTTGATAGAAGCTGAGTTGTTGTTGTTTCCACAGGTATGTTCAATAATTTGTTTGTTCTTCCTCATCTGGAATAATAAGTGTCTTAAAATACATATTTTGATGAAAATGACACATATTCCTCTTGCAATTTCGTAAAAACTGGCCGTTGCCTTCAGTTAGAACATATATTTTATGAAAGTTAAATGATACTTTGTTTTATTAAAACCTAAGGTATTCATGAGAAAAATGTGCTAGATGTTGTAATTGACAAATCCACTTGTGAAGTGGAAATGTCATGTTGTCACATGCTTATGAAATTGCTCCTGTATTAGTTTGTTATAAAGTAAAAATTGCTGCAAAAATGATTTTGAAAATGTTCAAGTATTGGTTGTTATGAGATAAGAAATGCCGCATTGATTTGTTCAGTTTTAAGAGTCTAACGGCAATCCTGAATATAGGCATGCTTGCTTTGTGAAATTCTGTGGTGATATGGCATATAAATAAAAATATCTTAAAATTTTTACCATTGCCTCTCTCCGAAATATGGCTTAAAACTATCCTTATTAGTCAACCTTCATGGAAAAGTTAGTGGGTATGCTGGGAAAAATGCGCGCGGCACTTTTTTGGACACTGAAGATTGTAGCATTTGATGTTGTCATATATTGCCATCCTCTTATCATAGCATAACTTAACTTATTTTAGTGAGTTTGTTAAAGCATTGTGCTCACTATATGTCTGTAGTATCTAAGACTTTTTCATAGCATTATATGACAAATTTAAGTTCTGTTTTCTTTTATTTTTAGGTGATAGTATCTGTTCACTTGAGTGTTGGTATCAAATTTTGGACAAGTTTCAATTATTATTTCACATTCCTTTATTCAAATATCCAAATAAATGAAATATGACATCAAACTGGACGACTAGATTCTGTTTCCAAACTTGTTTTTGTAAAAATAGAAAATAACAACTTATTATGTGTTGTTCTAATAAAAACTATTGTTTTTGATATGCATATTTAATTTTTAAAATTACAGTCATTCTTTGCTAAAATGGGTACCAGGAATACTGAAATCTTTCAGATCAGCTACCAATTCCCTTTATAACTTATGTAGCCAACTGTTCTATCAATTTCTGTTCAGATTAAACAAATGATGGATAAAATATTAGTTTAGATTCTTTCAAAAAAAATGAGCTTGCCTATTTTGAAAGCATAAAAAGCAATAAAATAAAGCAAAAGTACTTATTTTTAATTTAAAACCTTTGGACTGCATAGCTTAATGTTTTCCACTAAATATTACAAAGTTTTTATTCATTGAAATGTTGTTTTATCAGCTTTAAAACCAGATAAATCCACGAAGCACTCCTATAAATATGTCGCCATATTGATTTTTTCGCGCATGCTCCGTACAAAATGCCCAGCTGTTGTGTTGATATATATAGATTATACCTAAGGTTGGCAACTATATCTCAACTGACGAATATACCACTTCGGCAAAACGCCAAATACAGTCGTGTACGTAAATAAAACATGATAAAAAATTATACCACATTGAACTCTGATATTTTTTCTACATACCCGCATATAAACTTTGTTTTCAAGACTGCAAGAAAGATGAAAAATTTGCACAAACGTTTCATGGTCTGATGAAAATTTTGATGTGACTATGCGGGATGCCAAAGGTTATTTCATTCGTCATATTTTTAAAAAAATTATGTGATTCAATTGGTTGAAAAAATAAACAGTTTGTGACGTATTTATAGTAAAAATTGGGTTTCAGGGGG